GGGGTTATACCATCCTTTCACTTCCAAAGTTCTTTAATATTTCCTGCCATAAAAGTAAATTCTTGATTTCTATTCTATCTAGCTTGAACTATCTCCATTACCTCTTCCCATATTCCTTATCAGTCCTGATCTCATTGTGAAGGATTTCCCCTTCCTTCCTTTCTTTACCCTCTAGTCTTTTACATGACTAATATGTTCAGTAAGAAGATCCAAAAGTGTCTTGGTCCAATTTCACCTTTTTTTTACCAGAGCAACAAAAACATTCATTTATTTTGAAAAGATGTACCCCTGAAATAAGTGTATTTCAGATTATAAAAATGTGTCTGACAGGATATTTACACTTTTAAACCTAATTTCCAATGAAGATATTTGTGCAAAGTTTATGTGGAAAGTTGTGAAAATTCGCAGCTCTCTGTGTGTGACCCCATTTTGTAAGATTCTAGGAATTATAATTAAAAAGTTTATAATCTGAGAATCGTCATTCGTCATCCTTGGATAATATTTCGTCAAAGGGAGTGTCTGCACTCTGCATATTTTCAAGTTAACTCAGAAACACAATTTACAATGGTACCCTTGAAACAATTATCTGAGTAACACTGAGACGGTATCCTCGTTTTTCTATCTTAAAATATACATTTCTTTCTTATACGTTTCTGCTGCAGATCTTTACTCGTGTAACTCGTGCAATAAAATCCGCAATAACTTAAAAAGAGAAATGGAACAGAAAACTAAAGGGTACTGTTGTGAAATCGGCATGTTACAACCTTAAACGGAGGGTCGCTTGAAATTCCGTCGACTTTCCCTTTAAATTAGGCCAAGTTTAGAAAATTTTTTTCAATTTTTTAAATTACTTATTTTTCAAAGGAACTGAGTTGTTGTCACAAACTCAAATTGTCTAATCCATATAATTAAATAAAAAAAAGATCAACCATCATTCCGTGGAAATCAAGGCCGAGACCCCCTCAAAAATAACCGCCAAAGGATTTCTTGTTTTTTCTGTATGTCATATTTAGTTGTATTAAAAAAAAATATTTTTCTTTTATATCTTGTAATTTATTTCTAATCCAGGCTTTCGCATATATCCCCCGTAGCCTGTGGGGGGGGGGATTCCTATTTCCCCCTAGCCTGAATAAGGGGAATGTTATATATATAATACTTCACAGTACAACGTTAATACGAGTTCAAAAGAGATAAACCCCCTGTTAAAATGTTGACAGCTTTTTAAGAAATTCGAGTGGGGGTCAAATATTTGAGTTTTGTCCAGAAGCATATATAATATTTTCAAGAACCCCCATGAAAAATATTTTCAGAAATTTATCCAATAATTTAATTTAATATATAAAGTTAACATTAAGCCAATCTGCAAATATTAATTTATATATATTGATTCAGCAAATGTAAATATTGGGTTTTAATTTGTTATTAAAAATCTATTATATCGGGAATAAAAGCTTATTAATGCCATAAAATTCACCATTATTTCTCCTAACCAACATTAGATAAAGTTTCCTTCGTGTTTTTAACACAAAAATAACATTTACGATACTATCTATTTCTAGTAAATTTCCCCCATCCTTTCACCAATTCCCCCTCGCAGCAAGATCTGACTTGAAGGGGGAATTCATGAGGTCAAACAGGGACATGAAATCCCTCCCCCCCCCGGGGAATTTATAGGAAATAAAACTTTCAGAGTAATAAGGGTGGAAAAGGGTCAAAAGGGGTTGTTTAATGATCATTTTATCTACACAGTGTGAAGAACATATATTGACCCCTGAGATAGGGTGAGAGGCGGGGTTTCATGTTATTCTTGGAGGGAAAAATCAACATCCCTGTAGAACTAGGGTGGAAAAAATTGTTCATATATTTCTACTTAAAAGTAGTTATAAATAGATTGAAGAGGGGGGGGGGGTGCATAGAAAACTGGCTTGAGGAAAGAGATAAAATGGCTTCCAATTTAGATATGGATCGAGTTATATGAATATTCAAATATATATTTTAAATATTAGAAGGAATTAAATAAATCATTGTATAATGAAAACCGTAAGTTTACTTTTTTATGCATATTTAACATTAATTTTAGGGGTTTCATTACTATATAGGACATCATACATCTCCCTCTCGCCCCCCCCCCCCCTCTTTCAAGGGCTATGGGAGAGGAAGGGAGGGGTGATTTCATAAGTGGATATAGAGGGGAAATTTTTTTTCAAGAAAATATACACCCTTTCCAACTTGTCTTGCACATTAGTTGACTGACCTTAGGGACTGAATAAGCTAAGCTAGCTATATCAAATAAAAAGGGGGAGATTATGAATAAAATAAACAATTAAGAATAATAATAGAAATGTATTAGAATAATAGAGTAACATAAATGTTACCAGTGTAGAGAGAAGGCTTTTATATGTATTCACTTTAGTGTCAGGTGTCGTATTTTATAGGATTCAGGATCTGATTCAGGTTTCAGGATACAGGATACACCATACAGGATACAGAATTAAAAAAAATATTTGAGGATACAAGATGCTTGATTCAAAATGCAGTATGCAGGATACAAGATACAGGAAAAACGATACAAGATATAGGATTGAAGATTCATACATTGTACAGAATACAACATACAAAATGTAGGATACAGGATACAGGATACAAAATAGAGGATACAAGATACAAAATAGAGGATACAAGATACAAGAATGATACAATATAATTATACATTCAGGATGCTTGATAACGGAGACAAAATAAAAGATACAAGATACAGGAATTCAGGATTGAAAATACATGACAGAATACAATACAGAATACAAGTAGAAAATACTGAATGCAGGATACCGATTACAAGATACAAGATACAGGACTCAGGACACCGGATACAAGATACAAGATACAAAATACATGATTCAGGAAACAAGATACATGAAATATGATTTAAGATACAGGATAGAGAAGACAGGGTTTAAGGATTGATGATGTAGGATACAGGTTACAGTATTATTATTATTATTATTAAAGGACAACCCATCATTCAATGAAATAGGGGTCGGCGCTCCTGACCGTTGAAACAACGTGTCCACGGGGTTTAAGTATAAGATAAAGGATGTAGGATGTGAATCAGACGTGGTACTCTTTCAAAAAGAGGATCATATGAAATTGCGTCGACAGTCTCTTTAATGGAAGGAAAGGGATGGGGGGACGGGAAAATTTAACTTGTTAAACGTTTTGTCTGAAAACCTTGAGTCTAAATGTGTTTACAGGTCAGAAGAAAACATATGAAAATGACAGGATATTTTTAACAGGATAACGGGGGATGTACTTTCTTCAAGTGCTGTTTCAGAAACGATACTTATTTATAATTTTTATTTGAATATTGGGATTCAAGTATCTAAATATTTAAATTTGAATTAATTTGAATAACATTAGGAACAGACATTCAGTTTGAAGATACAGGAAATAGGAATGAACTCAAAATATAAAAAAGCGGGAAGTCATTGAAAACACGGTTTATAAGAAAATAGAAAGAAAAACATGATTGGAAGTAGGAAAGGGGGGGATAGAAGAGAACGAGCCAGATACCAATTAAAAACAGGGTTTATAAGAAATTAGAAAGAAAAACATGATTGGAAGTAGGAAAGGGGGGGATAGAAGAGAACGAGCCAGATACCAATTAAAAACACGGTTTATAAGAAAATAGAAAGAAAAACATGATTGGAAGTAGGAAAGGGGGGGGGATAGAAGAGAACGAGCCAGATAACAATTAAAAACATCAAGCAGTTAATTTTTTTCAATTTTTTAAATTACTTATTTTTCAAAGGAACTGAGTTGTTGTCACAAACTCAAATTGTCTAATCCATATAATTAAATAAAAAAAGATCAACCATCATTCCGTGGAAATCAAGGCCGAGACCCCCTCAAAAATAACCGCCAAAGGATTTCTTAGAGTACAATTTTATTCTTTGGACAATTTTCAACTACGGCCCGGGCATAATATATTCAAAATTTATACGGAAATTAATGTATATCCGATTATGATTCAAGTCTAGTGTGATCGAGACATCGGGGTCCAAGTGACAGAAGTCACTTCCCCACTGCACACAAACAGTGCCTGGACTAGTGCATTTCGCTTCATATATCTTAACAATCTGATGATGTAATCCTTTGATATTTCAAACTTTGATTATTTGGTCTAACAGAGTTCATAGTTAGAAATATCAAAGGTCTACGAGATTGGGTAGCAAAGATTTAGAGAATAGAAAAGTAGAGTTTGTGACAAAAACTTAGTTCCTTTTCAATTAATTCCCACTTTAAATTTTCCAAAAACATGAAGAAAAACTTTAAAAATTTTGGACAAGGGTGAAATTATCTTTAAAACATTAAGGTGCCCCTAAAAAAATTAAGGGGAAAGGAAAGGGTGAAAAGAGAAGAAAGGGAGAAACAAAAGGGGAATGGGAGGAAAAGGGGGAAAGAAAAGGGAGAAAAAGGGGGAGAAGGGGGGTAAAGGGAGAGAAAAGGGGTTGAAGAAGGAAGATATTGTGAGAAGAGTAAGAATGAGGTAAGGAGTTGGAGCATTGACTATTTAGTATCTGAGTCCTAATGTTCCTGGGCTCACATTAGTTTAATTTATTGCACTTGGCAAACCTACTTTTACGCTTCAGAACATTTAACATTTATTTTAAGCTTTTCAGAAAAATCCTCTTTTTTCAGGCTCAAGGAGAGAAAATGTTGTCTAAATAAAGAAAAGGATCATCTTTTTTTCGGGTGCAAATTTTCTCTAGATGCTTAAATAGATCAATTTTTTCAGTGACAAAAAGAAAATTTTTATCTAAACGAAGAAAAGGATCATCTTTTTTACGAGTGCAAAAAGAGAAATTAATCAAATGCATAAAAGAAGTGAAAAAGCCTAAACTTTAAAAATAATTTTTATATTCTTTAAAACATAAATTATAATTTGAAACATTTTTATTATTTTTCAGTTATTGTGAGTTTTGATTTATCTTTCAACCGAAAAAAAACTTTATCTTATTTTTAATTTTAGTTGTATTCGGAAGGAATTAGGTTTTTTATTTATCATGACTCCCCAGTTTTAATGTGTTTATTTTTCAAACTTGGACCTTAAATAAACATTTCTTTAAGTTCTTTCCGCATAAAAACATCAAGTTTTTCTAAACTTTCTATTGAATATATTCATACAATGAACAATATTATGTTTAGTAGGAGGGAGGGTGTATGTGTCTAGATAACAGCTGTTAAACTTGATAACTCGAAGAACAAGTGTTATGTATTTAATAATTCTCGGACATTTAAGAGTTGAGTCCTCAGTACAGTACATAGAGTTTAAACATGGAGTCGAGTAGAGTTGAGTCCTCAGTACAGTACATAGAGTTTAAACATGGAGTCGAGTCGAATCAAGAAGAGTCGGCATGATTCTTAAAGGTATTATAAAGTAAGCTCTTTACAACCCAATAAACTAACTCAATACAATCCCATAAAACCGGTTTCTGTATACAACAACAAACCAACCTGAATTCCGTCGTCGGTCGAGGTTTGGAACATCGGGATGGTCGTCAACGACTTGTCAACGCAATCGGCCATCCGCTTCCCGTTAGACCACTTGCAGTTACAGAGTGCCGGACAGGAAGACAAGAAATCACCTCTGAACAATATTAAAATAAATTATAAACAGAATAAATTAAAAATGTTAATTATTTTTACTTGAATAAATAGAACGATTGTTCAGAAATCAATGACAACTTGCTAAGGGGCCCAACTAAGATTAATCAATTAAGTTAGAGTTGAAAAAAACTCATCACGCTTAAAAATCTCATTTGAGATATTGTGTAGGAACAGAAACTAACTCAATAGTTTAAATCTATGAAAAAAATTACAATTTCTTCAATGTTTTATAGAGCTCTATATGACTAAAAAATAAATAGACTTATATGTTTGGTGGCAACTAGAACAAAAAAAAACATATTATCCTAACCCCTCGTGGCTTGTCGCACGATGAAGCAATATTTGTGCAAAAACCGGTTTCCGACTTGTTATTCCGCACTCCGGTATTGTTAACAAGGTGACAGAAAAGAACATTTGCCGGAAACAATAAAATAGGAAGAGGGGGAATACAAGAAAGAAATTGGAGGAATTTATTTTATATAAATGATCTTCAAACTGACACCATTAATGGGCTGTATCGCAAGTTTTATTGATTCTCCCCTAAATGTGCACATAAACATTTTCTAAACTATTTTTGTTTTATTACAGAAATATTTTTAGTTTGGTAAGCTTGTTAAAGTTAAAAAAAATTATACATAAACTTTAAAGAAAAAATGTTTTAAAAAGATTAAAATATAGATAGAATAGTAATTGCTGTGTTTACTATGAGTTTAAAAACTTTCTAAGTGAACAGAGGCGATAAACCTTTCGTTAATCTACAACTCCATTAAATCAATAGATAAAAACTTGTAACTAAAAAACCAGAGTTGAGAGCATAATCTTTTGAGTTTAATCTTGATTCATATTTCATAATGTTTGAATTTGAAATGAAGAAACTTGATCTTGCTAAACTCGGATTTTAAATTGAATTGACCGATAGAAAACTGGTTGAACTCACCGCCATCAAATAAAGTGAGTTTGATTTATTATAATGTACGGCCATTTAAGGTTGTTAGCTTAAATATTTTAATTTCTTTAAATTTCATGAATGTATACACACCATCTGAAAACATCCAATGAAATAATTAGTTGGAAAAGTTTTAAAACGGGAGCGGATTTCATCCTTTCGTTTCCNGCTTGCACTTCCGCTCTTTCCTTTTCCCAGAGGGATATGAATTATGGGGTTCCCTATGTCGCAGATTTAGATTTTTTGTATTAAGATTATTTATTCACCACTTAAACATTTTTTTAAAGAAAATATTTTTAATTTGAGGCCTTATCCAGCATTAATTTTAGGCTTGATATGTTGCTTTTAAAGTCACAACTTTTTCCTAATTCGTTACAAAAAAAATATCCCCTATTTTCCTATTTCAATTGGCGGTTTTCTAAAGAAGTTCATATCGAGATTTTTGAAGGGCCTAAAATTTTTGGGGGCCTTACACTTCCTCCGAGGTCGCACAAAAATTGCAATTCAGTTTTTTCCGTTTATTTGGAACTAACAATACAAATTATAATATATAAAATGATTAAATAGAAAATGTTTTTAATTCGAGGCCTTATCCAGCATTAATTTTAGGCTTGATATGTTGCTTTTAAAGTCACAACTTTTTCCTAATTCGTTACAAAAAAAAATTCCCCTATTTTCCTATTTTAATTGGCGGTTTTCTAAAGAAGTTCATATCGAGATTTTTGAAGGGCCTGAAATTTTTGGAGGGCCTTACACTTCCTCCGAGGTCGCACAAAACTTGCAATTCAGTTTTTTCCGTTTATTTGGAACTAACAATACAAATTATAATATATAAAATGATTAAATAGAAAATGTAAATAATATTGGGTCGGAGGGGGTCTGTTTATTTCACGGTATTATCTCTCACTGCCAGACAGGGTAATCCGACCCCATCACGATCCATCCAGCTTTAGATTTCAAAACAAAAATAATTTACTGTCGAGTCTTATCCAGTTTATTTTATTGTTTCATGGCTCATAACTTCCAGCTAAATACAACTAGATTCCGTTAATACTAAGGGAAGTTGTCAATATTATTAAGGATTAAGATTTGTAAAAGTTTTGACAGTAGTTAAAAAAAATCCCTAAAAAAAAGATGATAAATTACGTGCTGCTCTTCTGAAACTGTGCCTAAGCGGGACAAAAAAAACTAGTATTGAAGATAATAATTCCTTCTCCAAAATAATATTTAAAATTGCTAACAATATTCTATATAATAAAATAAGACGGCTGGATCGATTGGGCTGAAATTGTTTGTGAACACTCATGGGTGGCCAGGGGGTGATTTAAGCTAAAAAAAATCTAGAATATTTATTTTTCAAAATAATTTAAAAGAGAAAAATTTTCTTTTTATTCAAGGGCAACGCCGGGCTTTTCAGCTAGTTAATCATAAATCTGAGAAAAAAACGTTATCTCAAACGTTTGCTTGGTGGACAGGCGATTTTGTAAAAAAAATCAAAAGAAAAAATTAAAACCCAATTTTAAAAAATCTCGATCTTACATAAAAAAGGGTTGCATGTCCGATTCAAAACGATACGCTTAAATCTTTCCCTAATCAGAAATGATTGAGTTATTCCTCTTTTTCCATCTAATTGATATTTTTCAAATGCGGTTTTCTATAAAAATGACTATGGATTTCATGCTACAGGAGAGAAAGAGGGTAGTTGCGAAAGAAACCCCAACTCTTCGATATCTTTCTTAGTATTGCGTAGATAGTGGTTAAAAAATGGTACCGTTGCGAATCGGAAACGGAACTCTATTAAAGAAGAGTCAGTTAAAATGACGGCTAAAGTCACATTAATGTTTCAAATCTCAGTTTAAAGTCAGCCTTACCTAGCAGGTACTCCAAGATGTGCAGCGAAGAGAAGAAAAATAAAGACGAACGTCATTTTGAATTTATTTCGCAAAATTTGGCGGGAAAATATGTTTTCCGGAAGAATTTACATCATCACGCTGTCATCTTTAAAACAGATTATCAACATTATCATTCACTCAAAATTTGAAGCACAATTTTTTTACAAATTTTGGTTGATATTTTTCACCTTGGAACCGGATCCGTGGATCCGCATATTTGGGCGGATCTGGATCCAGGAAGCCAAAATGTTGCAGATCCTAACCACTGGTTTAAACACTGATTATACTACTGCTGCTAATTTATATATTTCAAATCTCCAGGGACACCTTAGTTTCTTCCCTGAGAAAGAATAACGGTAAAGCCAAGTTTTGGCAAATATTTTAAAAAAAGTTGAATCTGAAGAAAAGTGTATCAAAAATTTCCCGAAGGGTTCAAGTGTAAGTGTAATTCTACATTTCCACCAAATAAAACAGTGAGTGAGATATTGTTGATAATTTAACACTTTTCGGTGTTATCAGTTATACTGTGGGGTAGGATGGGGGGGATTTGTGGTTATATCTGGATGATAATCTTTTCCTTGTGTGTCTGGAGATATATAATCCATCCAATCTTCTCGGCAACCTCAACCATACACTCGACTAAGTTTAATCAACTCGACAAAATTCACACAAATCCGCTAAAATAATTCTGCGGAAAAATCCTCGAAATTACGGTGTTATAGATTCTGTGTTCACGGATCGTATCATCAAGCTCACACAATGATTGGCACTTATTCACTCAGACATGACACGAGTTATCACTTGAGTTGACACTAGACAGTATACAATGTCTATTTCTATTTAACTAAATTAACTCTCAAGGTGTTGATGCCTTATACTCACTGCCCGGCGTGTCACTACCGACTGAACTGAAGTTTCAGAGAGTTTCAAGTAGAGTCACAGAGGGCCAATATACACGAGAGAGTGAGAGAGAGGAGGGAGACGGGGACGGATTCACTTACAGTCCATACAATCTGAAACAGAAGAGAAATAAACATATTTATCATGTTAGCATCGATCCAACCCCTATTAAGGATAGCACACTGCAATGTCTCACGTACACTTAAAAAATCTCCTTAACAAAATCTAATGGAATCATCGAATTCTTAATTTTAAACGATCTAGAGATATACCCCCGTTAAACTGCGAAGTAAAGTGCAATAACTATTCAAATGAGTATTTAAACTTAAAAACTAACACCTCCTACACTCGTAGAACAAAAAAATGAGTTTTAACTAAAATGGCGGCGCTGCTAATTTTGAATAAATTAAAAGGTTTAAACTTTAAACTGGTTTTCCGTACAGAACAGTGTACAGCTGTCCGGTAATTTGTACACTATAACCTTTAAATAGAAAAAGTACATTCAACACAGTTCACACAGTACGTTGGTGAAGAAGTGCCGAGTGAAAATTTTAATTTTCATTATTGTAGAAGTACCAA